GACTTGAGACCAGCCTGGGCGACATGGTGAGACCTCGTCTCTACAGAAACCAGAAAAGAAAAGAAACCAGCTGGCGTGCTGGCGTGTGCCTGTAGTCCCAGCTGCTCAGGAGGCTGAAGCAGAAGGATCACCGGCCCCGGAGGTCAGGCCACAGCTGCAATGAGTTGGGGTCATGCCACTGCACTCCAGCCTGGGATAGAGACCCCAACCCAAAAAATTAAAATTAAAAAAGGCCGGGTGTGGTGGTTCCCAGGACCTTGGGAGGCAGAGGTGAGAGAATCATTTGAAGCCAGGAGTTCACTACCAGCCGTGGCAACACAGCCAGACCCCGTCTCTACAAAAATAAAAAAACAGCCAAGCATGGGAGTACGCCCGTAAGTCCCAGCTATGCGGGAGGCTGAGGCAGGAGGATGTCTTGAGCCCAGGAGTTCGAGGCTACAGTGAGCTATGACCAAGCCACTGCACTCCAGCCTGGTGTCCAAAACACAAAACCAACAAAAAGGCGTCACAAATGTCCACGCCATCCCTGCACTGCCCGTGCTAGCCTCCGTGTCCCGCTACTCAACACACATACTGCAGCGAGCGCTCAAAGAGCTGCTTTCAACACCAGCAAGTTGGCCGCCTCGGCACGACTGGACCCGAGAGACTGACTGAGGACACCAACAAGAAAGTCAAAAGCTGGCCAGGCTCGGTGGCTCAGCCTGTCATCCCAGCACTTGGGGAGGCCGAGGTGAGTGGACTGCCTGAGTTCAGGGGTTTGAGACCAGCCTGGGTAACATGGTGAGACCTCGTCTCTACAATAAACCAGAAAATCAGCCAGGCGTGGTGGCGTGCACCATAGTTCCGGCTACTTGGAAGGCTGAGGCGGAAGGATCGCCTGAGCCCAGCGGGTCGAGGCTGCGGTGGCCGTCAGTGTGCCACTTGCACTCCAGCCTGGGTGACAGAGTAAGACCCAAGCCCCCGAAACCTAACACCATGAAGTACCAAGCAGGCATCTTCCACAGGAAACCACACACCAGACACGGGAGCCGCTTCACAACCGAGAAGCTGTGGAAACGGAGCAGGGACCTCGGCCAGCTCTGCTCCAAGCCACAGGCGGCAGAGCGAGGCCTGAGCGCTCAGAGCCCTTCGCAGAGGTTCCTGGAGTAGCCTCTCTGGGACCCACCGGCCCTCTTGAGGGAAAGCCTCAAGAGGTGGACACGGGACCAAGGTGCAGGTGGACAGGCTACAGGGACACGGCGGCACTGGGGGGGCTGAGGCTGGGCCGAGGCTGGGCCCAGGCTGGGCAGGGCCGGATGGCTCTCAGGTGCCGAGCAGCGCCCTGGCCGCACACCCTCCGACCAAGCCTGTCCCTCCACCACCCCTCCGCACTGGAGGCCCAGCCCCGCCATCGCCCGCTGTCCAGGCTTGGGCCCGGAGCCTGACTTTTCCT